TGTTTTTTACTTCAGCATAGAATGTTTCAAGTAGCTTGTTTAGTTTTTCTGGCTCGTTTTCCTCGCTTTTGTTGACAATATTTTTCTGTTTGCACCACGTCTCCCATACATTCAGCCAGAAAGACGTACTCTTTACTGTGTTTGGGTTTTTGGAAAAATTTTTTAGCTCTTCAATCGTTGTTTCACTTGCAAAACCAAATCGTTGTTTGCTGAAAACCCCGGCCATTTTCCTCCGCGTCTTATCTCAAAATTTCCGCCAATATGTTGCTATAGAAACAGCTCTAATCTGATTGGTTCTTGTCGGTTTCTTTTGTGTTTTTAGCCAATCAGAAAGCATTTGTAATTTGCACTCGTGTTACAAGTTTGCACTTGTGTTACACAGTTTGCACTCGTGTTACAGAAGAGCTGCACTCCTTTCTCAGCCAATCAGAATTGAGGAATTTTTTCGTGTATATTATTATACTGATAAAAATCATCGTTCAATATTTTGAGTGTAAATTCCCTGAAAGAGTTCTCCTCACTGGAGCAATATCAAGATGTACAAGGTTTTCAAAGGTTTCACACCGGTGTGAAACTAAGCCGGATGTGCGGCCTGTCTCTCCCTGCAATTTTTACGTTTTGAGTATTTAGATTATGACATATAACACTCGCTTTGTATTCAAAACGGAAACGTAGCATAACAGCACCACCGCCTTTGACAGCAAAACTTATTTCCAAGCCCCATGGGCTCGAAGCAAGCGAGACTCAACGCTACTAAGAGCGTTCTTATTTGAGTAATATACGGCTCTGACTTCTCGCTCGACAATGCTAGGCTCTTTAGGCTCTTTCTAGCATTCACTACGAACAACTAATTCGAAATACGACTTTGAAAAACTAACATAATTAAAAAGCTGACAAACTTGTGAATGTCACCAATGCCAGCATGGAGTGTTAAAAAGAAAAGATGAACAATAGAGGCATTCTTCGTCAATGTATTTTTGCATCCCTCGAGGAATCCTTGCCAATGTAAAAATAAGGGCCGTTTAACGGCCTTCTAGCTCGTGGTTATGTGATTTATTCCCCTCGCGTAACGCACGAGGGGAATAAATCACATAACCCCTTACTTGAGGCCGATAACTCTTACTAATATATTTTATAGATGCACGAACAACTCAAGTGAAACACATAACATCACAAGATCAAAAAATTATGAAAGTAAATTAATTTAAATCAATGGAATCGTGTGGTCATACCACTAATATTCTCTATTATTTCAACAAAAACAACTGAACTATAAGGTTCACTCCCTTTTCAGGCCTGTGTCACCACTGAGGGATTTTTGTGCAATAGATTGCAAATCACAGACTGCTAACAATGGAGCAAGCTCCATTGCAAAAAAGCTGCAGATAAAAGGAGCACACACTGTTACAGCTGTAGAACCAAACTGCTAATTCTGGATGATGAACAAAATAAAACAGGGCCGGGTTGTTCGAAGCTGGGTTAAGATAGTAGTCATGCTTCAACAAAATTAAGCCTCATTTTGGACTTCCCGCATACTAATTTGGATTCCCTCGCAAAAAGTGCGTTCCCTTTATTAATATGCATAACGGTCGAGTCTATGACGTCACCCATTCTTATAACCTAGGGAAAAATGTTTTCTTCCATACTAATGAGGGTCTTCCTGCATACTAATAAGGATACTCGACAAAAATACCTTCCCGCATACTAATTCGGTATTAGGTTTACTAATATGAATATGAATAGTTTATTAAAACTCTCTTGCAGTAAAAAGAACTGAATTATCGAGTACATTTTACAATCTTAAGGCAACTATTATCTAGAGTACAATGAAAATAACAATTGAATCACTTAAAAAATTAAAATGTAAAGAAGTCCTCCACTCTCTTTGTCCTACAGACCTGCATGTTCCGGAAAAGATGATACTTTTGTGTTTTCTGCCATAAGGTGTAGTTAGGCGCGTCCAGAAGTGGGCTGGGAAGTAGGTGGTGCAGAGGGTGGCTGGGGGACTTCATTTTCGCCATATATTTGTAGCACAAGAGTACTCTTCTATCATCTAACCTACCTAGTTTACCTAACTGTAAGGCATGAGCATATGACTCTGCCTCGGGGCAGATTATGTTAAGCACCCTTTGTTGCACTCGCTTTATGGCTTCGGACAGGTAAGCAGGGATGTCCTGCTAGACTGGTACAGCATACTCTAAAACTGGCCGGACTGTGCTAAGGTATATCCTCAAGACGTTGGGTTGGCTCACCCTGGCTATGCGGAGAACACTAAGGGAGTATAACTTCTTACAAGCTTTCTTAATAATGTAATCAACATGACAGTTCCACTTCAGGTCATTGTCCATAATAACTCCTAAGATCTTATAGGTATTGACACGCTTGATGAGATTGCCGCCAATTATTATCGGGTTAATGAGACAATTAGAGTTGCGTAGGAAATAAATATGCATTTCTTTACACTTGGTTGGATTAAGTCTCATATTATGAGCAATGGCAAAATTGTGAATGTCTGAGGCCACTACATTAAGTAAGCTAGGGGAGCGTCACTCTACTTCAATAGGAACAATAGGCTTGCCTACACTTGCCAGTGAAGTAACTTGAGCTCGGTTTTCAGACCGTCTATTAAAAGAGAAATAGGAGTAAGAGAAGCGATCACCATGTAGCGCTAAACTCAGGTATATAAACAAAACACAAACAGAAAGTAGAGTTGAAAGGTCTTTACTTTCAATTTAGTTTACGTCTCCTTATTTAGCGCTAAAACGCGGATATATCAACAAAACACACGCACATTATACACGAAGTGGAGCTGAAAACTCTCTATTTCAATTTTGTCTGACTATTACAAAACCGTTTTCTCCTTTCTATCTCGAGGAAATGAAAAACTATTACAGTCTCGGCGTTTCACGCGCCGTTAGTCAGGTAATTATGCGTGTTCACAAGTTCACGGTTGCATACACATTAGCTCTGCAGTAAAAACCCCAAGGGAGCATCTTGACGCATTATTATAAAAACACCCAAAAAGAAACCAATTAATAACTTAACAAGGATCAATTGAAACACACGACTAATAATCGCCCGCGATAAAACCAGAAACGTTTCTTAAGACACAAGAAATCCACTTTATTACCCTTTAATAATTGCAAAAAGTGTAAAATACTCGGTGATTAAGACGAAATCTAGGTTTTTTTGTGTACCAGTATGCCAAACTTCGCATGCTACCGTTTTATTATGATTTCTTAGACAAGTATTTAGACCGTAGCGATTTTCAAATGTGTGAAATGGACACAGACAGTGCGTATATCGCTATTGCTGGGGAGAGTGTAAAAAGTTTAGTCAAACCAAAATTGAAAGCAGAGTTCGAAGCCGATAAACGTAACTGGTTTCCCCGTACGGATACACCCGAGCATAAGGCCTATGATAAGCGAACCCCGGGTCCTTTTAAGGTTGAGTGGAAGGGACAAGGAATTATCGGGTTGTGTTCATTGTTTTGAGGCGAAAGATAACTTTTCTTGCAAAGGGGTTAACAAGAAATGTAACGAGATTAACAAAGATAAATATTTAAATGTACTATTAACCAAACAAAATAGTGCTGGGGTCAATCGGGGGTTCAGAGTAGTTAACAATACCGTGTATACTTATACTCAAGTGAGAGATGCATTCGCGTATTTTACCCGAAACGAAAAGTTTTGGCTGATGGAGTCAGCACCATTCCACTCGACATTTAAGTTTCCAAGTTTGTAAAAAATAGAATTGGTCGATAAGTTTCGCTTATTGTAAATTGTAAATAGTATTGTATATAAAAGAGTTTCCTAAAAATTTCTGAAAGATTGTCATTGTTAGATAGTTTGTAAATAAACAAAGTTGGGAGAATTTTAATAATGGCTTGTTCTCTGTCTAGCCACGCACGTGCCTTTCCTTGAGCGCTTCCTGGGAAAACACAGGGTTAAAAAAGTGCCCTTTCTGGCCTTTCTGCCGTATGTGCCCTCGAAAATCAACAATAAATTTCGTGTGGCAAATAGTTTTATTCAGTTGAAATCAAACTTTCACAGAGATAACATGAAGAAACTAAGATGTAAACACTGCCCCATACCGGGATGTCATTCTAAATTTTTAGTTCGATTGGCAAATCATTGAACTCAAGTACACGAGTTAACAGAGACAGAGCGAAAATATTGGCTACAGTTTGCTAAACTACAAAACACCAATGTGGTTCGTGTTTACGAGAAAGAGGCTGAACCTAAAACAATTTTTCTATAAATGATAGTACGCACCATTCAGTTAATCAGTTGTGATCATGGATCCGAGATGGAAACATCCTTTCCCCGCGCTTGTGGCCGGCCCAACGTTTACTTGAATCGGGGGAAAGACATGATTGATGGTGCCCCGGAAAATATCATGTGGTGTTAAAGCATGTATCAACAAGCCTACGATGAGATGCTTAAAACTATTCCGAACATTATGTTTGTCGAAGGAGTGCCTGGTGATCTGGAAACCCTGATTAATCCCTCTATTCGGAATTTAGTCGTCATTGATGACTTAATGCACGAGCTTAGCAATGATCAGCGAATGACTAATTTGTTTACCAAGGGCTGTCACCATCGCAATCTCAGCGTGATCTTTATTCTCCAAAACATTTTTTATCGTGGAAAAGAACTGAGAGATATGAGTTTGAATTCTCATTACTTAGTGGTGTTCAAAAGCCCGCGTGATAGTAGTCAGGTCAATCATTTAGCAAGACAAATGTTTCCCAGTCATGTCAAATACATGCAAGAAGCGTTTGAGGATGCAACAAAAAGGCCCTATGGATATTTATTTTGCGACCTTAAATCGGAAACACCTACCGACTTCCGGCTGCGTACGAATATTTTCCCCGGGGAGACTCAGTACGCTTACGTCAGAAAAGTATAAAAAGCGTGAACCACATCAAATTTCTTTAGTTGAGGATGGTACAGCAACTGAGAAAGAACCACGATTTTCTGAAGCTGCTTGTCAAGTGTACCCCAGCTCAGCGTAAAGCCATTTTGATGGTGGCCGACGACGCTTTAGTAAGAACCATTTGTGTGTGTGTTTTAAACGTGCTTAAAGGAACAGTGCCCGTCAGTAAGCCAGCCAAGAAAAAGCTTTACCTCACAAGAAATCTTTGATCGCTTTAGCCGAAAAAAGTAGACCGCTCGATAAGCAAAAGAAATTGTTGGTACAACACGGAGAAAATTTTTTAAGTGTTTTGCTACCTCCCGTTCTCCGTGTGTTAAGTTCGATTCTTACCTAAAATGAATCACACAAAGCGTATGGTTCTCGTACCAGAGAACACCTTGGAAAGATTACAGCAACGCCAACAGATTTTAACCCCACCCGTCACACAAACTCTGAAAAACTTGGATAGTGAAATGACCGATATTTTATCCAGTAAAGAACTTGATGATAAACAAAAAGCTAGGCTTTACAATCAAGTGTTGCAGCGGTACTTGACTTATTACGATCAGCAAAAAGGTCAACCTCTTCATGTAAAAATATCAACCCCCAAAGCAGTAGAAACACCTAAACCAGAAGAAGAATGAACAACCTACGGAAGAACCTGTCCCAGAAAAATTCATTACATCAGCTGTAGAGCAAGAAGTCATGAAAAGTGTACCCAAAATTTACAAAGCCGGGGCTAGACAATTGTTGGATAAAATTAAAGAGCATCAAGATGTCTTGCATTGGAATGATAAAGGAGAGCTGTTGTATGAAACCAAACCCATTCCAGGTTCTCATCTAGTCGACCTAGTCAACGACACTTTACGCCACCGCAAAGGACTTGAACCGGTGGGGTGGTCAGTGTTTGCGAGGGGTCTGGCGCGAATGAATGTCCCGGAAAATCTAGTGCGTAATCCAGAGAGGCAAAGTGCTATTCGTGAATTTAAAGCAAGGGTGAGAGACAAAACCCCTCACAGTCCTTTTCGTTGGCTACCTAGCCCACCTGTGACGGTATCCCCCGTGAAAAAGCAGCGGCAAAGAAACGCGAGTCCGCGCCCTGAGGCTGTGCGCTGGTTACGGTTATAAATCACCACAAGAAACATTATTATTATTGTCAATCATCTCTTTATTTTGTTCACTCAATAAAAGACGTTGAAAAGAAATCACAAGGTGTTTGTTTATTGAACGTTGTGCTGGGCTTGTGCTCTTTGCTTGTTTACATCAGTGCGATATTTCGTAAGACTTATAGGAAAATGTTTTTCAATAAATCGCTTGACAAGACTATCATTTTTACGCATGTTTTTAGAAAAAGGATGTAAAATTGTACTCATACTTATTTGCCGACTACGATATAAAGCAAAATACAAATAGTAATGTCCGCAGACTTTGGAATAGATGCTTTGTGATGTCACAGTATTAAAAATCCACTGGTTAGAATTGTTGTTTAAAAAGGTAGTAAATGTTCCTGAATATTTGCTGGAAGGTGCTCCGTAAGAATCGAAAAATTCTCCTTCTTGCTCCTTGGTGAAGTAAAACGCCACCCAATGCGAACCTGGCTTGTCACTTGTATCCACACTGGCGATGAATAGGGCTGGGTATTGCGAAACACTTGCAGGCAGCTTGTCTGAGGGATACACGCCTTGAAACACACCTCTTGTAAATTTGTCCTTTCTCAAAATAAGGGTCAGTTGAATGGTGTCCATTCTTTTTTTAGTTTCTGCAGTAGTAGAGAACGTTTCGGTTTGCGTCGACCTCAATCACGTTTTGAAATTCAGCGTAGACGATAAGGTTAACCGTGTTAGCGAGTGCTTCCGAGAAATGAAGCTTCAAGCGCAGGTTTCCTTGTTTTATGAGCTCAAAATGATCTCCCGGGCAGTGACCTGGGGTCAAATCAAATGCGAATAAGGTGTAACCAGAGCCATAATCACTTCTACTTATCTGATTGCCCGTATCCCGGGAAAGCTTTCCAATACCAGAGAAAAGACTTTGATAGCCGGCTATCACATTTTGACCACCAGCGGTGTCAAAATTCAGGAACAAAGGTTTTCGAAGGATTTGTTCTCCGTCCACGTACACACCCACTTGAGTTAAATTGTGGTGATTGAAGTTGAAGGGGTTGGTACGGTAACTTCCATTGTAAGACTCTGTGTCCACTAATTCAATACTATGCACTTGGGAATTGGACCCAAAAAGATGTTGTCAGGGTTAAAACTGCTAAATCCTCTTGGAATAGAGAGCACTTTACGGTCGATTCTGCGAATGGGGTACTTGGCGCTGGAGTGTTTTAGCCCAGCTGCATGGCCTAGAATGATANGCAGCTTGTCTGAGGGATACACGCCTTGAAACACACCTCTTGTAAATTTGTCCTTTCTCAAAATAAGGGTCAGTTGAATGGTGTCCATTCTTTTTTTAGTTTCTGCAGTAGTAGAGAACGTTTCGGTTTGCGTCGACCTCAATCACGTTTTGAAATTCAGCGTAGACGATAAGGTTAACCGTGTTAGCGAGTGCTTCCGAGAAATGAAGCTTCAAGCGCAGGTTTCCTTGTTTTATGAGCTCAAAATGATCTCCCGGGCAGTGACCTGGGGTCAAATCAAATGCGAATAAGGTGTAACCAGAGCCATAATCACTTCTACTTATCTGATTGCCCGTATCCCGGGAAAGCTTTCCAATACCAGAGAAAAGACTTTGATAGCCGGCTATCACATTTTGACCACCAGCGGTGTCAAAATTCAGGAACAAAGGTTTTCGAAGGATTTGTTCTCCGTCCACGTACACACCCACTTGAGTTAAATTGTGGTGATTGAAGTTGAAGGGGTTGGTACGGTAACTTCCATTGTAAGACTCTGTGTCCACTAATTCAATACTATGCACTTGGGAATTGGACCCAAAAAGATGTTGTCAGGGTTAAAACTGCTAAATCCTCTTGGAATAGAGAGCACTTTACGGTCGATTCTGCGAATGGGGTACTTGGCGCTGGAGTGTTTTAGCCCAGCTGCATGGCCTAGAATGATAGAAAAGGCAACCTTGACTCTGCGTACAAACAAGATGGCTTCTGTGATAATCACTTTGAAATTAGCTGCGGCTGCTGAGGACACAAGACAAAACACATTCTTAGCCCGGTTCAGTTTGATTCTTAAATTAACTCCATTGAGCATCAACCGGTCTTGAAAGAATATATCACTGTGAATGGGTCCCATCATATCCACCGTACGACTCTCTTTGGTAAACTCATAGCGAGCCTTTAATCCAAGGTTTGCTTCATCGTCTGCAGCCAAGGGGTTCACTATATTCATCTTTCCGGCAGTATCTTTGTAAAACATGGCCATAGAAAGTTGACTTGTTTTAGCTTCTTCCCCGTAGTTCAACAAAGATTCGATCATGGCACGATAGGGGTAAGTGTTAGCGGATGCAGATATAAGTCGCTCATTCAAGGAAACGTCTACTTGTGAAAACAGGGAATGCAAAAACAGGTTCACGGGACCTACTTGTGTATCGGCATCTAACGCAGTTCCGTTTGCTTTCGTGATCTTAGCTTTCACATAAAGTTGTGTCCGCGCTATATCTAAATATTCTTCCCCGGTTCCAGATACGTTAAATTCAATAGGACCAGTGTCCGTGATGTTGCTGAGAGGGTGATATTCAATCCATTGCCCTTTGTGAATAGAGGTTTGTGTCGCAGGAATAGTAAAAAGATCGAGCTCTGATTAAGTACACTCGCGTGACTCGTGATGAACGAAGGGCATTCTATTCTTTGTCAAAAATGGTTTGACGCTTCTTTTGCTGCGGAGATGTTTTTGCTTTCTTGCCGAGAGGTGAACTGATTTTGGCTCCTTGCGCTTTCCTTTTGATAGCTTTTTTACCAGCTCCTGGTTGTCCCTGCAATGAATTCTGGGAAGGTAGACCAAGGGCTTGTTTAGCCTGTTTGCTGATTGCCTTTTAATGTTATCTCCATCAAGAACATCTTGCGCAACATTGACCCCGGTTTGCAAAGCTTTTTTTCCAATCACCTTAGCACCTCATTGCAGGTGAGGCATCGCCCAGCGGAACAGACCTTTAAATATGGAACCTAAGCCGTACCCTCGCTGAAGTCGAGCTCTGTGAAATGCGGGTAAATTCCCACCTTTTTGCTTGGCTTGATCAACATAGTACTGTTCGTAGAACTTATGATTTGGAGCGTGGAGTTGTTTCCTTTTTAAAAGTACTGAGGTTGACTCTGACGAAAATGAAGTGTTAACAACACTCTTCCAAACTCAAATGGCACAGATTCCCCTGTGTCTCGCTTTATATTGACTTCGATGGTTTCAAATTGCTTTCTGCTGANTGGCTTGATCAACATAGTACTGTTCGTAGAACTTATGATTTGGAGCGTGGAGTTGTTTCCTTTTTAAAAGTACTGAGGTTGACTCTGACGAAAATGAAGTGTTAACAACACTCTTCCAAACTCAAATGGCACAGATTCCCCTGTGTCTCGCTTTATATTGACTTCGATGGTTTCAAATTGCTTTCTGCTGACAGGTACATATTGAGGGCACACAAACGATTTACTGTCGACTCGCTGACCAACCTCTCCTTCTACAGGAACAATTCGAAGCAAAGGGACCAGTACATCGCGAACATATTGTGACTGACTAAGTTCACAGTAAACGAAAAGATCGTGAAAGCCGTATTCCAAATCCACCTGTCTGTCCCCCTTAGTGGTCTTTGAAATAATTTGTTTGGGAGTGAACCCCAGGATATAGGCCATATCATTTAGCGAAACTTCTACGTTGTTTTTCAAATGAACCGTAACCTTTCTGCTGAGATTATCGTATGAAAACCGTACATCATCTGAATATCGATTTTCATTGTCCACTAACTCTTTCATCTTTTGAAGGACATCCTCGACGGAAGACTAATGACCCGGAAGCATCTCCAGGGAGTCCCAAACACCGTGGAGTTTTTCATTTCGAACGTAAAATCGGAACTGTTGAATGTTATTCCAGCTTTGCGGATAATGGATCTCGGACAAAGCCACTTCCCATTCTCCTGTAAGGTTTAGGGTTTGTGGTAAACTAACTCGGTACTCTGTTAATAAGTTATGAGGAAATTTATCAAGACTGCTATTGCTAGGGAGGTGCAGATAAAACTGTGTTACCTCCATCGTACCCTGTGTTGAAATGAACTTTTTAATCTGGGTATTCTTAATTTATTAGAAACCACACACCGTTCATTTTATTATTTCCTTTTCCTTTATTCACTACACAAAAAAACGCATAAATTACAACTTCAAAATACCACTTTCTTGAACCCAAGAATCAAATTTTGGGTATTGGTATCCTTTCCATCTCACAAGGTATTCTACTACTCCTTTACGCTTTCTCTTCCGCAAAATCTTTTCGACGCGGTACACATGATCGTTCTTAATACTTTTCTGCAATTCAGGCTCTTAAAATGTTCCATCTAAGATTTCACCTGAATCATCTTTTAATTTATAAACGGGTACTTGGCGAGCCAGTTCTTGACCTTGTTTTGTCTTCAAAGGTAACACAAAAGCGTGGAGGAGGGAAAACAATAAAAATGAGGAGAAGGAGGAGGGAAAACAATAAAAATGAGGAGGCGGAGGAGGAGGAGGAGGAGGGAAAATAATAAAATTGTGGAGGAGGGAATAATAACATTGAGGAGGGAAAATAAAAAAATTAAGGGAAAATATAAAAATTGTGGTGGAGGGAATAAAAAAAATGAGGGAAAATATTAAAATTGTGGAGGAGGAAATTCAAGAATGAGGAGCGAAAATAATAAAATTGTGGAGGAGGGAATAAAAAATATTGAGGAGGGAAACGTAGTAAAAAAGATAGCTTGGTTTCTTTGACTATTTTAATAGATTTCTTTCAAATCGCTGTGTATTTGACTCTTTGTGTTTTAAAACGGTATCTCGTGTCTGATTTTATTGCCAGCAATTATTAGTCGCGTGTTTAATCAATTGATCCTTGTCAAGTTATTTGTTTTATAATAATACGTCAAGATGCTCCACTGAGGTTTTTCCTGTAGAGCTCATTTGTATTCAACTTTGGGCTTGCGAACTCGCATAATTAATTGACTAACGGTAAGTGAAACGCTGAGACTTTAACAGTTTTTCATTTCCTCGAGATATAGTGGAGAAAACGGTTCTGTAATAGTCAGACAAAATTGAAATAGAGAGTTTTCAGCTCCATTTCGTGTATATGTGCGTGTGTTTTGTTTATATATCCGCGTTTTAGCGCTAAAAAAGGAAGACGTAAACTAAATTGAAAAAAAGACTTTTCAACTCCACTTTCTGTATGTGTTTTGTTTACATATCTGAGTTTAGCGCTAAATAAGATGTAGAAAGCCGTTTCTCGCGTTGCTAGGTGATCGCTTCTCTATTTCTCTTTTAATAGACGGTCTGAAAACCGAGCTCAAGTTACTTCACGCGCAAGTCTAGGCAAGCCTATTGTTCCTATTGAAGTAGAGTGACGCTCATTAGTGAACCTATACCGAATTAGTATGCGGGAAGGCATTTTTGTCGAGTATCCTTATTAGTATGCAGGAAGACCCCCATTAGTATGGAGGAACGCATTTTTTCCCCAGGTTATAAGAATGGGTGACGTCATAGACTCGACCGTTATGCATATTCATAAAGGGAACGCACTTTTTGTGAGGGAATCCAAATTAGTATGCGGGAAGTCCAAGGGAAGTCACCAACGGGGCTTATCTTTGACCCTAGTAGACTACTTAAGATAACCCAGGGTTAAAGCGAAAGTTGAACTCAGCTAGAAGAGCTTAAAAAGCAAATTCAGTTTAATTCACTTTGCCTACAATTTGATGATTGGATACTCGAAAAAGAATAGAGCAAATTATCCGAGAGAGTACTTAATTTTGATAAAAAGAAAAAGAAACCCGGAATAAAATTTAATCCCAGGTTAGCGCTAACCGGCGTTCGAACAACTGGACCCAGGAATCTTCTGGGGCACCGCAAAATACAATAAGCAGAATAACAGCAAAAACAGGATTAAACTACTAAGGATAACAGTGCAAAAGCACAAGCATTCCCACAAACATAAACAGCAAAAGTTAATCCTAACCCAAGTAACCTTTAATTTATAGACTTACAACAAATGGTGTGGGAGTTATCCTACTGAACATATACACAGGAACCCCTTGATTTGCAAATACAGTGCTGGTCCTTTGAGCAAGCCTACAAAAAAATAACAAAATAGATATAGATAAATAGATTAAAAACACAAATTTTTCATTACCTCTCTAGAGCAAAATATTGTATATTTTATGACATTGACTCAAATGTGACTGACCCTGAAAATATCTTAATAGAGGTGACATCACCAGCAATATTACCTTATCCCCAGGCTTCTAAGAAGATGAAGAAGAAGCCTGGAAATGAGGTGGATATTTTCTTCATATTGCCTTTGTTCCCAAGATACTATTGCCTGTTCTTTACTGAGTAGTATAGTCAGGGTTGAATAACATCTGTGTTTGTAACCAGTTCGCCTGTGATTCCATAGCAACAGTCTAGCAAAAGAATAAAT